GCTTGAAAGCGAAGAGAGCGGCAGCGTTGTACGTCCGAAGCCAAAGTTCTCCATCATACCTGCGTCACTTGAAAATTGAAAAACTTTTGCAATGCCTTTCTTATGGAAATAGTTCGCGTTTACGTTTGAGTGAATTGTCATTGTCGGGCTTCAGCGCCGCAGACTCATTGAAATATTAGTTTCAGTGTCTTATACACAGTGCTCAGCGCTCCAACTTAGTGCGGTGTTGGAGAAAAGCGGCCGGAGCGAGGAGCGTTAGTACTTAAGGAAGTATTACCGCATTTCTTTACTAACGATTTTCCATTGTGTTTTAAAATTTAGAGTAGTTTGTGTATTTTTTAACAAAATAATTCTTGTAGCCTTTCATTAGACTAAACGATCAAGTAGAATGTAATATAACTAACATTTCGGTTGTATTAATTCTCTGTTGAACTATTAGCTAGTCTTTGAAATAAAAGCAAGCGTTCGTTTAATTGTATCACAAGCTGTTTAAATTTTTCGTATAGCAAAATCCAAAGGGCGCGATAGGTCGTGTAAATCCGTATGAAATATTGATACAGTTTCGTGTAAACGTGTAACAAATGCGGTAATTTAAACCACCTGCCGGCGGCATGGCGCGGCGAGCGCGAGTCGCGCGCTCTGCTATGCAGCGATTTTGAATAGCCTGCCCTGCCTACTTTGTGCTTCTGTTTTAAATAATATATTGATTTTATAGTTAATTGCAATAAATAATTTTTAATTTGCAAAATGTTTTAATAGTATAGAAGAGAACGATCTGCTATACACTGGCTCTCTGATTGTCTAAAACCTGTTCTGGCAGATTAACGTAACGTACATATGTTATATATAACGTAAATAACAAACGTTAATGGTAAAAGTGATGTCTTCAAACATTTGAATCGTTGGCTCCTTTCTTTTTTTCTCTCCCTAAATATTATAACGGAGATCTACAAAAAATCTTTTAATTTGATTTGGGAAATATTATTAATCAGAGATAATAAACCGATTCAATTTTGTGTTTAGTGATAATGTTAAATATTTGTATAAAATGGGAACACCTAATACAAAGATACTCAGTACATTGTAAAGCATAAAATTTGAGTGCGCTGCAAAACTTTAAATTAGTTCAGCAGTTTTAACACAAAGTAAAATTAAGCAGACTACATTATTTTGTAATAATACTACACTATATTGTAAATTACAATATACATTTAAACGAAATACCATTTTATTACTTCGATCAGCATAGAAACGACTTAACAACCCAAGAGGGTATATTTATGAGATACCATTGTATTTAAGACTAGACTTTATTAATTCTTACTTAATTATAAAAAGCAAAGTATAACGAAAAATAACTTATTTGTAAGTAAGAATTTTGTAAAAGAAAATTTTATTCTGTATATCCAAAACTACAATGTTTATTTTCACCTAATACGAGCGAATTCTTATTGACATAGGACTGTTGTTTCATACGTGATCTAAGCCAACGTTTTCACACCTTTTGTTATTTTCCTTGCGTAATTATCTTTCCGGTTATCGAGTGATATAAAATAACTTCTTAGGCGTATCAATATTAGTTCCTCATGTAGTAATTTGTAATACTAAGATTTTACATGCTGTTGTTAATTTAGATTATAATGCACCGTTAGGTAGAAAATCAATTAAAAAACATGACAAAATTGTCTATGACTTTAAAAAAAGTTTAATTATCGCGTTTGCTATGATACATAAATAAATAAAACAAAAATATGACAACTAAGGTGCAATCTGATAAAACCGTACATCTGTTTAAATATCAAACTAAGAAAGAATGAGTAGAATGAAGAATTGTGTTGTCCGGCGGGGCGGGCGGGGTCTCGACAAAGTCCGCTAGTAATGGCGCAATCATCTAATGAATGCTTCCGGCCAGATAAGCTTCGATTAAATGGTCTCTTTATTGCTGAAGGAAAGGCGCGTCCCCTTTATGTGTACTTTAAGATATCTTTCGCTCGGCTTACCGTCGTGCTGGTACTAATAATCCTAAAAGGATTATTATCAAACCCCCAGAAAAGGCACGAAATACGGCGAAAAGAAGAGGCATGATATAAATCGTCAGATCAATTACACTTTAATAAATTATTTCCGCTATAAAGACGTCGGCCGCGGTTAGATTTCGAGATAAGTATAATACGTACGTGTAGGTAACGCTGTACAATTTATCGCTTGCATATCCTTTCAGCGGGTAGATAATGACCGCAGTAAAACGTTTAAGCACGAAATAACTGCTGCTGGGAGCCGTTATTACAATATTATGAATGGTGCGCCCCGTGCCCGTCCCGCGCTCGCTCCGTTCGCGCTCCGCGCCCCTGTTCTACCCGCCGCCGAGCTTTGTAGCTTATTCAGCGATGTGTTGCTCGCCGAACCTACAAATTACTGAACCCTTATATTTTCTTTCGCTACTTGCTTATGAATCCAATGCAAATGTTTTTCATTAAAGCATTCCGCTGCGTTTGCTTTGCGCTTTTATTAAACAAAGATCATTTGAGTTTTCATCTTAGCGTCCTAGATGCGTTT